GATTAAATCCAAGATGCTTGGACTTCAGGGTAAACCCTGAACTGAGCTGTTCTCTCTGCCTCCCCACCTGCATCTTCCCCATTCTTCTCATTCATAACCTAAAGCTTTATCCTGGCAGCCCTGACCTCTTATCTGTTGGACTTTGTTCTACAAGTAAACACAGGCTGATAGGACAAAAGGGGAGGGGCTAGACTGCAGAGCCAGGTGGACCTGAGGTTCGGCACCCGCTCTAACAATTGCTAGCCTGTGATTTGGGCAACTCAGAGGAGCAAGGTGTGAGTTTCCCCTTCAGTAAAGAGAGGATAATCATGTGTGTCTCAGAGGGTTTGTGGGGGAATAAAGGAGATAGCCTATGTCCCTACACAGCGCCTAACGCATAGTAGGTTACTTTCTTGTTGCCTTTTTTCTGCATTTCTGATTAGCCTCACAACATTATTCACTCATTCATTTACTGCATATTTCATTCATTTACTACATATATTGAATGCTTACCCTGCACCAGACATTGCAGTAGACATTGGATATATTGGTAAATGAAATAGATGTGGCCCCTGACACTATGGAAGTTGCAGCACCATGGAGGCCACCAGCCAGTAGTGAAGTTAGAAATTACAGTACTAAATGCAGTGAAGGAATAGAATAGGACCTGCTACTGAGAGGCAATAGTAGGGGCAGGCCCACTTTATGTTATGTGGCCAGTGAAGGCCCTTCTGAGAAAGGGACCATCAAGTTGATAACTGAGAGATGAGAAAGAACATGAGTAACATGATCCAGGTTGAGTTACAAAGAATTATTCAGGCTGCCTGCAGAGAGTGAACGGGAAGTAAAGGAGCAAGAGATGACGAGGAGACCCCATTGAGGAGGCAGTTGTAGAAATCTGACAGGAAGTGACAGTAGCTTAGGTGAAATATTGGTCCTGGAAGTGGATAGGGACAGACATATCTGAAAAGTCATGTGGAGGTACATGGTCTTGGATTAGAGTGTCAAGGTGTCAAGGCTTACTCCCCAGTGTCTGATTTGGGCAGCTGGGTGAGTGACCTTATTTGGTAAGATGGGGTGATAGTAGAGACTTGGGTTCAACCTAGACTCTTTTGTTGTTGTTTTTTTTTTATCCTCACCCAAGGATATTTTTCCATTTTTTGTACAGATAGAGTGGAAGGGAGAGAGAGAGAGAAACATCGACGTGAAGGGACACATCGAGTGGCTGCCACCCACACGACCAACCAGGGCCGGGGACAAACTGCAACCGAAGTACGTGCCCTTAGCGGGAACCGAACCCGGGTCTCTCCGGACTGCAGGCCGACGCTCTAACCGCTGAGCCAAACTGGCCAGGGCCAACCTAGACTCTTAAGAGTATAATAATTCTCAAAGTTTTCCTGGGGTATGGAAGTTAGGTGACTCTCCAAGGAAGGCATTCTAGGAGCTAGGAGGGAAATGCCCAGAAAGGGACCCTTGAGGTTGAACCCTATTCTTGAGGTACTGGGATTAATACCATAAAAGTAAAATGTGTGACAATAGTAGCAAAAAGGATAGGGGAGGAAATGGACATATATTGTTATAAGGTGTTTATCTATGAATTGGTATAATATTATTTGAAGATAGACTGTGATAAGCTAACGAGCTATATTATAAACCCTAGGACAACCACTAAAAAAGAAGAAAAAAGAGATAATTAACCATTTGATAGTGGAAATGACATGGAATCATCAATCTGTAAAAAAGGCATAATGAGAGAGAAAAAAGGAACAAAGAACATAGGTGATAGTAAAACAACTAGCAAGATGGTTCCAATCGTGTCAATAATTACCTTAAATATAAATGGTCTAAACAGCCCAAATAAAAGGCAGAGATTTTCAGATTGGACAAAAAAGTAAGTCCTAACTATATGCTATCTGCAAGAAAACCATTTAAGTATTAGTATATAGATAGACAAAAAGTAAAAATATATGCTATGCAAACAGTAATCGAAACAAGGTTAGATCCCAAATAAACTTATTTTTGCTGATTAAAAAAAAGCAAAGTTAGAATAGCTATATTATATCAGAATGTAGAATTAGGGAGATATTAGATAATAGAAGGAATCAGCAAGACATTATAATCCTAAAAGTATGTGCACCTAATAATAGAGCTTCAAGTTACATAAAACAAAATGTACAGAAGAATTTATAACATTAAATGTTTATATTAGGAAGAAAATCTCATGTAGTCCACAGGACCACGCTCAGACCATGTTCTCTTGCCATCTTTATTTTACCACTGAGAAAACTGAGGTCTCGAGAGGCTGCAACTTGCCCGAGGTGGCGGAGCTGGGCTGGGAACCCAGAGCGGCAGCCCGACTCTCACGCATGACTTCATCCGACAGATCTGACTGTGTAGACTGAGAGTTCATTCCGTGTTCTAAGAAGAACTGACACAGAGTGACGAAAGGCAACACAGCTCCTGGTGGATGTTCTAGACTTTGCAGATGGTCTACAGGGAGAACAGGAAGGCTGGCTTCTGAGTTCTCTACAGCGACTTTCACTGTCTGGAGGCCGACGAATCATCTGCCACGTTGGGAGGGAGAGAAGGTGTGACGATGTCATGCCCTGTCAGGTTTGGACAGACATTCCCAAACATGATAATGCAGGGCCTCTGGCACCTATGCGCTCTTTTGGGCAATATTCTGCCAACCAAGGATTGATTCAAAATAAAGAATTTAAGAAACAATGAATGCATTTTAATATCGAACTGATGCAGAAACATTATGGGGTAGAACCTTGGGAACCTGGACAATATAAAAAGTAATATGACAAAAATGGGCTGACGAGAAGGCAAAGTGGAAGGTGATAGGAAGTGTGAGTATGTTCACTTCCTCAGCTTTACTGTGAATCAGTAGATACTGTATAAAGCTGAAATATGTGTGTAAAAGAATCACCTACTTTCTCTAATCTCTCTCTCTTTCCCTACACGCACACAGACACACACTAAATATGAGGTATTTTCAACTTTAGAGAGACCTCTTATGAACTAGGTGGGAAAATCCCACATTTTCCTGAAGTTAAGTGATTACTTTGGTCATACTTTAGTTTCTTCTCTTAAATGTAATTAAAATTAGCCCTGACTGGTTTGGCTCAGCGGTTAGAATGTTGACCTGTGGTCCGGAGAGACCCGGGTTCGGTTCCCGCTAAGGGCACGTACCTCGGTTGCAGTTTGTCCCCGGCCCTGGATGGGTTGTGTGGGTGGCAGCTACTCGATGTGTCCCTTTCTTGTCGATGTTTCTCTCTCTCTCTCCCCCTCCCACTCTATTTGAACAAAAAACGAAAAAATGTCCTCGGGTGAGGATAAAAAAAAATAATAATTAAAATTAAATGTAATGGTTTAAATTTAAAACCAACACAGAACACAATCCCAGTTTCTGTAAAATGATACTCATCTTTCTCCTTGGTAGCAGAGATCGGGACTATTGTTCAGTCAATGCTAACTGATTATTTCTTTGGTAGAATTTTGAGATGATTTTAAATTTTCCTTTTTGTGCTATACTGAATTGTTTTTGCTTTAAAATAATCATGGCATTCTTTGAAATTAAGAACTATTATCAAAAGCCCATGAAGGATAATTTTTAAAGGGTTCAGAGTTGGACCTCCAAGTGGAGATGCCAAGGAAGGGGTTGGATATATGAGTCTGGAATGCAGAGGGAAAGTCTGGATTAGAGATGATAAATTTGGGAGTTGGCAGCATGTAGATGATTTCTGAAACTCAGAGGAATGAATGAGATCATCTTGAGAGAGACTTAAGGGAGAAAGAGCAAGTGCTCAGGACCCCACTCTGTGCATCTCCATCACTAGAGGAAGAGGTGGGGGAGGGACCTGCATTAGAGCCCCAAACCCCACACTTTTTGGAGGTGGGAGGAACACCTACCTCTTAGCACTTGCAGAAGTCATGAAGCAGCCAGGCAATGTTGTTAAGATGCTGGGATGCAGTCCAAGTGCAGGGGTTGCCCACCTGGATTTCATTCCAGAACATATTGTTCATTGAGTGCCTTCTATTTTTCTCCTACCCAAACCTTGCAAGTTAAATAACCAGCAATTGCTTTAATTCCATTTGGAGAATTAGTTCAAGACCTGTAGAATATTTGGGGTTTGGCTAACATCTGGGTCTTTGAAGAGCTGCTGACTTCCAGCAAAGGTGGCCAGTGTGTTTGGAGAGCACGTGTGTGGTTTTCAATGGGCCACAAGGAGCTGCTGTCTGATGAGTGCTGTATTTGACTTGTGAGTTTCAAGAGAGCGGCCTCTGGAACAGTTGATAATGTGTGTTTACATCACTATAACCCACTCAACTTGTAAGCCTTCTCCTGATTAGTTGGTAGTCTTTCTTGCACGGCTAAAAATTCAAGCTTTTAAAACCTTGTTATTTGTTGACAAGAGGTCAAGCTTGGGAGACAGGAAGCTGAGGCTGTCTTTCTCAGCTCGCCCCTTGAGAACAGCTGACTGCTGCTCAGTCCACAGGCCTCACTCTGGTAGCCTGGAGAGTTTGCCCTCCCCGTTACTTTCAGGCCAGTGCCAATCACAGCACTTCTCAGCTCGTTCTGGAGCCCATCAGGCTCATGTAGGAAGCTGCAATCTGCCCGTCAGTGACCTCGACCTTTGGCGGGTGATGACTGCTGCCGCCCATTGCTGGGACCTGCTCCTGTATCAATCAGCCTCTCTGTCAACATCCTGCCGTTCAGCAGAGCCGCTCCGGCTCTAATGCTTCTCCTGGCACCACGCACGCATCAGCGCCTCCACTCCTCAGCCTCCGGCCAGGGCGCCACACACGTCTCCAGGTTGCTGGGTCGCTTCCTGTCTCACAGAGGCTGTTCTCTCTGCTTTCCTGAGCCTGGCACGTCTGCGCCAGGGCCTTTGCACTGATGTTTGCATAAGGATGTTGAGTTTTCAAGCTGTGCAGTGCATTTAGCAATAGGGCTTGAAGGAAGCAGACTTGAATGTGGATCTGATTAGTTTTCCCATTTTCTCCCCTTCTAGGTAATACTTACTAATATTCAAAACAGAAGCCCCAAGCCTGGCCCTGCTCCCCACGATCAAGAACTAGGTTTTTTCCTAGAAACAGGACTTCAGAGAGCCCATGTCCTCTATTTCAAAAATGGGTAAGCTGTCTTCATTTTTTAAATCAAGGTCCTAAGGAAGGAGAACAAAAAGCCTTAGAATGCTGCCTTCAGTTTAGTTATTATAGCAAAGCAATTTTAAATATGAACTATAATTGGAATTTTTTTTTTTTAAAAGAATGAATATAGGCTCTGTTTTCTCCCCTCCACCTGGCTCTCTCAGTTTCCCATGAGATTCGAAGGTGGGAGAAGGGGGTTGGGGATGCCATGTGAGTCTGAGTCCCAAGTATGGGGCACCAAAACCAGAGGGGGACCTGAGGGGAGCCCTGCTTTTTACTGCCCTCCTGCCATGGGAATGGTGCTTCACAGGCCTCCCCACTTTGTTGGGGGAACAGGTAATGAATTGGCAACCCTGGCACAGAGGACCATCTTCCCTGGAATGCTGATCAGTTCAGAGACTTGGATTTGCCAAGTCTCAGAGAGTTTTCAGGAAAGTGGGCATGGCTGATGCCACACCAGGTTTCCCACTTGAGCTACCTTTGCAGAGGGTTAAGAAAGTTCTGAGAGCCTGAGGGTCAGGGATGGAGCCTCTAATGCACTGGATGTGTTTTCCTTTTTGTGCTGCTCTTATGAGAAATGCCACGATTCTGTTCCAAATCTCTTCAGCTATCCCTTGTTTTGACATTGTGCTGCAGGATAGATGTCCATGAAGACCAACAGTAGGTGTCTGGTTCCTCTGTAGCTCCTGCTAGGCTGTGCATGGAGGCCCTAGAGGCCTGTTCCCTTCCTCTAGCACAGAGTCCTTTGGATAAATGAACAATGGAGTTGCCCCCTCTTCATTGTTACTAGCTTCAAACCTTGGGGCGCCGCTCGAGGAAGTGGGGTTTCATCTTCCTGGTGGCCCAGAGCCACATGCATCCAATTTCCATCTGCTGGGAGTGAATGCTCATTTCCCAGAGCCCATTAAACTGTGGACAAAGCCTGCTGTGCCCCAGAGGCCCCTGGTTCGGATCGGTGCAGTCCGCAACAAGCACCCCAAGGTTTGGAGCAGCTCAGTGGCTTTGGCACAAAGATGTGCTCAAGTTTGATCTCATCTGCCATGGATTGAGATCATCTGAGCGATGGTGCATGTCCCCTAAGCTGAGTTTTGCTGTTTAAAATAGCGGGAGAAGGGAGGGAATGTGGAATTTTTTTCTAGTGGTCCGTTTCTTCTCCCTTTTCACAATAAATGGTGGTCAACACAGAGGAACCCCCAGCCATGGTGCCCCCTCCCTCTGTCCTGTGAGTGTGTGTGGTTGATATTGCAAGTCCAGAGACAGGAATGAATTCCCTGGGGGCTCTCAGGGGTGCCACACCAGCCCTTCTGTTGACAATGCTTTGTGTGAGGTTGATAAGGGTGGGCTGGATAACGCAGTCTCATCTTTGAAGGCTGTTCGCTGAGGAGGGAGAAGCAGGGCTGCTGGGCTCTGACCTCCTGCCATGAAATGCTGGCTGCCCACTGATGTCCAACCGAAGAGTAACGAGGATGAGAGGTTTCTTATGTATCACTGGGTGGTGGATTATGTGCCGGGATTTGTTCACTGGCTCATTTCTCATTTTACCCACGTTCAAGGAGATTCCCACTGATGTAGCCCAAGTTAAGGGACTGCTAAGCTTGGAAGCCTTTGCTCATCTTCTTGTCCTCGCCCTTCTGTCTGGGCTGTGAAGACCAGCGATGGCATTGGGCAGCCACTCTGCAGGGTCCCCGGGGGCCGCAGTGTCCTGAAGGCTGGGGTTGTGCAGACGTAACAAGGGGTTGCTTTTGGGGGAGGGGGAGGTGAAGGACAGTTTTGAGACCACAAAATATGGATAAAAGGAGATAAATTTGTGGGAGGTTTTGGATAAGCCAAGTGCCATCAGGGTCACTCAGAGCCCAAGAGCCACATCTGGGGGTCATCTGTCAGTGGCCGCCCCCAGGCGAGTGGGGCAGGTGGAGGCAGCTCTGTGCCCAGGCACCAGTGGCTACATGGCCCGTCCTCTGCTGGCTCTGCCCCTTGCTGTCTCCTTTTTGTTTTCTGCAGTTTAAAAATATGCACCTGGGAGGATACGATGGACAGGGCTTGACCTATTTTCAAGGATAGGGAAATGCACCAGACGAGGGTTTTGCAAGAAGAGACAGAAAATGATAAAGCACATCTTTTTCTTTAGAAATGTACTTGAAAATATTCAGCTGTTTGGTTGTCATCCCTGAGGACTTCATGAGTTAGAGTGATCTCTTTTATTCTTTTATCATTCTCCATCTTTTTCAAGAGTGAGCGCCAAACTGATGACCTTGAGTCTCTTTCAGAGACAACCTGATGCCCGGACCAGGTCCTGGGCCCCTCCTGAGCCCTTAGACCCCAGGGATGCGTTTATGTACCAGGTACTGGCCTTTCATGGGCCATGCCCCTCACGGCGGCATCTCGTTCATGCCCTTTGCCACCTGCGAGGTGGGCAGTGTAGGTCACATGGCCCCTGTTTCACACACGGTGACCTGGCTTCCAGGTTCTGCCTTAAGTCCTATTAGCCCTACACCACCGCGCCACTCCGTGTGGAGGGGCTGGGTCGGGCCCTCAGACATGGCCTTGTCCAGCGCCCTGCCTCTCTGTGAGAGAGCACTTGACCCCTGGTACGAGGCCTTGCCAGGGGCTGGTTCTCTGCCACCGCTGATGGGTGTTTGCTCACCGCGCATTCCCTCATGTCTCATCTACTGCACGTCACAGAGCATCTGTCTCTCCTGCTCTCCTGTCCCTGGCCCGGCCCCTCCCCTCCTTCCCCTCCCCTTCTCTTCCCTCCCTGTCCCCCGCAGTCCCCTCTCTGACTGCCATCCAGCCCCAGTGTCCCTGGGCATGGCCTGCGCCCGCAGCTGCCTCCCAGCTGTCCTGTACCCCTCCGCGTGACCGCGGCAGGCCGGGCAAGGAGGAAAAACCAGAGGCCGGGGCCTCGGCCACCAAGGTCGCGAACTGCCTGGCCCCCAGTGGGCACTCGCTGCGGGGCAGCAAGGGCGCTGGAGCCAGAGGGCCTGCAATTGGCAGCAGCCCTTCTCCTCCCCAGGTGCCGGTTTCTTTATCTGAAAATAGGGACCGGGTGAGGCCTGGCTGCAGCCGAAGCGCACGTCTTGAAGCAGGTGTCCGCCCGCCTTTGGCTGCCGAGCCGCACGCCAGCAGGTCCTCCCCGAGCCGCTGCCCTTGGCCCTGGTCTGAGCGCGCCCTGCCGAAGGCCTGCCGCTTAGCTTTGCCGCCGGCAGCGGTTTCAGAGAAGGAGGCTGACGCAGTGGCTCTGGGTGTTCCTTGGGCAGGAAAACAGCCCCAGGGTGGGGCTCCCCTCAGCCTGATAAGGAGAAGAGAAATGCCCCCCCCTCTTGAGTCTTCGCGGCCAGAATTGCCAGAGCAGCTTCGGTCTGGGATGCCACGCATTCCCTGCACGGCCTGGGCCCAGTGGCGCGTCCCGGAGGCCTGAGCCGAGCCCCCACCCCAGCAGGAGCCTGCGCGGCGGCTCTCACTGCGGCCGTCCCTTTCCCGGTACCTGTTACCTTTGTGGCTAGTACATCGGTGTACTTGCTTACCATCCGGGTCCCTCACCAGACTCCAGCCCCCCTGAGAACCCGGTGTGTTCCTTAGAGTCACCAGCGAGGCACCAAGCACAGTTCTCGCACGTGGCCGACCTCAGTAAGTACGTGCTGGGTGACTGAGCAAACCTCCTGCTGCCAGGCCGTACTGACGCTTGTGTACCCTGCAGGGTGAGGGGCCGCTCTGGTTGGAGGTTTCGATGAGAATTGGTAAGATGGAGTGGGGACAAGGAAGGAGAGACTCCGATTTGAAATGGGGACTTCAAGGAATCGCCTTTGGATATGTTGTTTGAGGTGCCTACGAGATGTGTGTCTAAGTGGAATAGTCACCTAGGAAGTGAGCACAGAGGGAAGGCTCAGCTTGAGTTGAAAGTCGGGAGTTTCAGCAGATTGGCCTGGATGGGCTCATGGAGGGACCGAGTGGGGAGAAAGGCAAAGGCAGCCCAGGACCCAGCTTGGAGGCCTGCGAGCGTTGGCTGTAGAATAAAGGGGAGGAGCCTGTGGAGGGGCGGCCTGAGGTGGCAGGGACACCATGAGGGTATGATCCTGTGAAAGCCTAAAGGGCAAAGTGTGTGGGAAGAAGGAGACCACCTGTGTTGAATGGTGCTGTGATATTAATAAGGGTAAAGACCAAAGCCTTGGATGAGATAACATGGAAGGCGTTTGTGACCTTGACGAGCCTTTGGTGGGAGTGTTTAAGAGCAGAGGCTAGACTGGGGAAGGAGAAGAGCAAATGGCGGCCTTGTATCTAGGTCACTTTCAGTGTTATTTCCTTTTCCACCTTCCTTTCTAAGGTGGAGCTCTTGCTGGGAGGACGGATGATCGAAAGAGGGTGGAAGACTGAAAACGAGGTTAAGGAATAGAGAGTTTATTCTCCAGGTGTGGAGAAGCCATTGGATCCCGAGGCTGGGGTATCAGGAAGGGCCAACAACAGGATCGTTCACCTGGCAGGCGTCTGGTGCCAACAGAGGCACCTGTACCATTTCAGCTGACGGGGTTCATTTTACTTGGTTTTTTGACCAGAGACAACATTCTGACCTGACACATTGATGAAGAAAAAGATGGGAGTGATGGAGGAAGTAAGGGAGAGGAGGGACAGGGAGGGGGGGTCTGTGTAAGGGGACTTCCCTTTACTGCAGCAGCCTGGCCAGCCAGGGCCGCCTTGGTGATGCCACAGGTCACTCAGACTGTCACGTGTCTGGAAGATGTTTGATCAGCGTAGCTTACTGTGTAATCATTTTACCACTAAGGAAAATCTTCGTAATAACTGAAAATCCTGGTGCTCAAATGTGTGAGAGGACATTTGTTTTAGTCATTGCCCTTTGTAGCTGAGGACGCAGATCCAGAGAAGTCGATCACATTCAGTAGTCACTCAGTACATTTTTATCAAGAACTATCAAGAACCTTGCTAGGTTACTTACTAGTGTCAAACACTGTTCTAACTGAACAAGGCAAT